AGCGGAGAAAGGGGCGAGGAGCTGAAGCAGTGTGGGAACATGGCAGCAAGAGGGGCTGTCACTGGGAGGGGGACCTGATGGGCGTCCAGCCCAAGAGACCTCTCACCCCTGCAGCCGGCACAGGCCTCCGCACGAGGTTCCTTGCACGCCTGTGTGATTCTTCCCATTGTGCAGTGCACAACAAATACTTCTTTCCCCACATGGTTTCCTCAGGGTGGGAGTCCCCTTGTCCAGCCCCCGCTAAGGAGCCCCCAGGAGAACCATGTGCAGATCACTGGCAACGGCTCAGTGGTCACTGGAGACGGAAGCGGCCAGGAGGGGAAGGGCGCCCAAGTCCCTGCTCAGCACTGGGCTCCCAGCCAATCTTTCCTCCCGGATGGCCGTCCAGCAGCCTCTCCAGTGCCTCCAGGGTGGCAGTGCCACCACCATGCGAGGGCGCAGCTTCCGTTGTCACACGGGATGGGCCTGTGGCCAGCCTGGCTGACACCTGCCCGGAATCTGGCTTCCTGCCCCTGGAGCCCCTCATCCCAGGTCCTGCAGTCCCGGATGCCGGGAAGGGGTCCCGGCACTCTTCCCCCTGACAGCCCATCTTTCCTGATCTCTGGGCCCAGAACTGGGCATACTACTCACAAGGAGGCCTGACCAGTGCCGAGTAGGGGGGGTACCAGTTCCCCACATGGTTTGGAAGTCATCCTTCCCTCCATGCAGCCCAGTGCAGCGCTTGTCCTTTTTGCAGCTGCATCGCACACTTGTCCCACATTCGGCTTGTGATTCCCGGCAATTCCAAGATGCTTCTCATTGGGAATATTCCTGAGACAAGCACCTCCCATCCGCCAAACTAGTTGATATATTGTGTAAACTCTATACAATAGACCTGCTGATACCCTTCAGGGGGTTAACAGCAATCCTTTAAAACACCATCAAAAAGATACTGCAGTATAAAAACATAGTGAAACATGAGGAAACTTTTTCAAAGAAACATTTAAAACCACATTGGAAACAGATAACAAATCCAGGAACTGCAACTATGGCCAGATAAAATCAGACAGAATCCAAGAAAAGAAAAGGCGAACCCCGTAAATGGATGAAATGCCTTGCAGGAAAACCTTGACCTGGCTCTGAACGGATTCGCGGGTTGGCATCAGGAGGGCACCTCTGACATCCATTCCCTGCTCCGCTTGCTCCCTGTCATTCCTACACATGTGGAAGGACCCTGGACCACGACTGAGCTTGGGGTCCACTCACTGGGTTCCACAGCCTGAGATGATGCCACTGAGAAGCCCAGGGGCCAATGCAGTGGCCAGCTCTGGATCCATCCACGAGTGGCTCCGTCACAGCACTTTTAGCTACTTTCCTGATTGGAATTATCATAGGACACCTCATCAAAATCTTTGTTGAAGTCAAAATTTGCCATGCCCTTCAAAGAAAGTCCTGGACTCAACGGGCTTCCTGTCCAAGACAGAAAGGATCTTAAGGCTCCTGCCTCATGTTTCTTAGTGGAACAAGCTCCAACGTACCTCCCGGTGGCCCACCTTAGTCTGAAATCCTTCCAGGCCAGGCACCCAGGCCTCTGTCCCAGTGGTTGCTACTTCACCCAGCCTGCTCAATTCCAGCCTAAATTCATCTGAATTGGGGGCATTTGTATCTCCCATGGCAGCAAATCCTGCAGTTAAGCGATACGCTGTGTGCAAAAATAAGTCCTTTTATCTGCCCTAAACATTCCACCAATGGAGTTCAGGGGCTGATCCCAGGCTCAAGTCCTATGGGGGAGGAAGAATCGTAGCCTAGTGGGGCTGTAAGGGGCAATGAAGGCCATCAGGGCCAACACTCTCCTGTTGCAAGACACCAAGTTACACCATCCCACTCAGGTGGGTGTCCAGAGTCTCCCTAAATGTCTCCAGTGTGGGAGAGCCCACTGCCCCCCCAGGCAGCTGGTTCCACTGCCGTATTGCTCTGACTGTGAGGAAGCCTTTCCTGATGTCCAGCCTGAAACTGGGTTGTCGTTTTTGTGAGGCTTCCCGGGACTTTCTCCAATTCAACCATGTTGCTATTGAGCTGGGACAAGCAGAACAGGAGACAGTGTTTCTAGTGCAGTTGCAGCTGAGACTTGTTCAATGGTAATTAGATCCAAAAATTCTACCTTCACTTCCATTCCTCACAGTGACCACAATGGCATCTGAGGTTTACATAGTGAACATGAAATAGGCTGACATGTTCATTACATAGCCTGCCCACAAGATCCCTTCCTTGCTCATGGCACATTTTCACAGAGCCTCTCCCCTGTATGGGTTCTTTGGTGTCGAGTAAGGGATGTACTCTGACTGAAGGCCTTTCCACATTCCATGCATTTGTATGGCTTTTCTCCAGTATGGGTTCTTTGATGCAGTATAAGATGTACACTCCGCCTGAAGGCCTTTCCACATTCCATGCATTTGTATGGCTTCTCCCCTGTGTGGGTCCTGTGATGTTGAATAAGCTCTCCACTCCCACTGAAGCTCTTTCCACATTCCATGCATGTGTATGGCTTCTCTCCAGTGTGGGTTCTTTGATGCCTTATAAGATGTCCACTCCGACTGAAGGACTTTCCACATTCCATGCATGTGTATGGCTTCTCCCCTCTGTGGGTCCTGTGATGTTGCGTAAGCTCTCCACTTCCACTGAAGGTCTTTCCACATTCCATGCATTTGTATGGCTTCTCTCCAGTGTGGGTTCTTTGATGCCTTATAAGATGTCCACTCCGACTGAAGGCCTTTCCACATTCCATGCATGTGTATGGCTTCTCTCCAGTGTGGGTTCCTTGATGCAGTATAAGATGTCCCCTCTGACTGAAGCTCTTTCCACATTCCATGCATGTGTATCGCTTCTTCTTAGTGAGGGACTTGTGATGTTGAGTAAGCTCTCCACTCCCACTGAAGCTCTTTCCACATTCCATGCATTTGTATGGCTTCTCTCCTGTGTGGATTCTTTGATGCCTTATAAGATGTCCACTCCGACTGAAGCTCTTTCCACATTCCATGCATGTGTAAGGCTTCTCTCCAGTGTGGGTCCTCTGATGCTGAGTAAGCTCTCCACTTCCACTGAAGGTCTTTCCACATTCCATGCAAGTGTATGGTTTCTCCCCTGTGTGGGTTCTTTGATGTCGAGTCAGCGCTGTACTCTGACTGAAGGCCCTTCCACATTCCATGCATTTGTATGGCTTCTCTCCCGTGTGCGTTCTTTGATGCCTTATAAGATTTCCTCTACAAGTGAAGCTCTTCCCACATTCCATGCATGTGCAAGGCGTCTCTCCAGTGTGGATTTTTTGATGCATCATAACATATCCCCTCTGACTGAAGCTCTTTCCACTTTCCTTGCTTTTCCTTGCTATCTCCCCAGTGTGCTTTCTTTGGCATCTAGAAACATCACCTGGATCACTGAAGGTCTCACAATATTCCATGTATTTATAGAGCTGCTCTGCAGGCTGGGCTCCTCCATCCTCTGGAAGCCTTTCACCAGCCCTTAAGCTCTCCCTACATTCCATGATTAGACAGGGCCTCCTCGATTGCTGCATCGCTGTTGCTCATTAAGTCAGTTCTCGCTCTTTGAGACTCCTTCCATGGTAGACATGTTCATCTGTGTTCTGCAGAGAGCCTGATGGCGAGCGAGGTCCCTGCATGGATCTCTTTCAACATTCTGCACATTCACTCAGTGTCTAGAGTTTCTACAGTTTGATTGTTTTCATCAATCCTTTGTGAGTTTGTGACACCCTGGACCATTCGCCTTCCTCTTTTCTGAACTTCTGGAATCTCTCCAGAAAATGGTTACCAACACTGTGAGAAATACCGAATTATTTTCTCCTGTTCTTTACTTGGTTTTCCCTGTGCTTTTTGCATTCTGTTCATTTGGAAATGTCTCCTGGCTCACTTTGTCCTCACTTGCTTCTGATGATATGACGCAGGGATCCATGTAATTCGACTGTCTTGCAATTCCTCTGCTTGGGAGGAAAGAGAAAATGAAAATCTTGGAAGGAACGAAAGGCCCAAACAGCTGAGTTCATTCCAACTCAAGGCAAAGTTGGCAGCTTTCTTGCCAACATCTCCCACATTCCCCCTTCTGCCCTTTGGAAGCCCTGCCAAAACCTCGCTTCTGAGGAATTTCCTTCAAGCGAAGAGCTCAAATACGGTGAACTCTTGAGAAACTCTGAACTGTCTAGGTAGCCAGACAAGGAAATATTTCCAGTAAGAAATGAAAGCTAACATTTAAGGGTATTGCACTGGCAGAAATGTTGAGAGCAAAACACATCTGAAGAACTCTTGCCAAATGCAACGAGATGTGGCATAAGGAACAGACACAGAGACAGAGAAAAATTGAAAGGACCGCTGCAAAGAAAAGATCCAGACCATGGACCGCCCTCCTCCAGAAGCTCCCAGTGAGGCAGCCATCCCTTCAACGTGGGCATTTTCAGGCAGGAATATTGCAGCCCTGCCGGGAACGCCTCAGCTGGGCAAGGGTGCGGCCCCTACAATGCGCTGAAAGGTTCTGCGTATCCTAAAGGAACTGCATGAAGTGTCCAGGTTGACTGACAAGGAGACTTACTGATCCTTGAGACACTGGGAATGCACAGAAGACCAGCAACCATCACTCAGCCAGGCTCCCATCAGCCCGAAAGGAGGAAAGCAAACCCTGCTCTTCTTCACAGTGAGAGCCTGGCTGGATGCAGGTGAGTGCTCTGAAGGTCCCTCGAAGGGAACCACATGGGCTTCAGGGTCACACCAAGCCCGGCTCTGCCCCCTGGCAAAACACGTTTCCTAGCCATATGCTCGTTCCGCTGTGGTGACTGGAAGTGGCTGTGCTGTGCTGGATGGGAGCGAGAGCCACCTGTGCACTGTTGCATTAACTCAGCCCGAGCTGCACTGCTGGCTCAGAAGCGAGCCTCAGAAGCACATCTTTTCCGCAGCCTGGTACCCCGTGCCTGTCCTTCGTCCATCTTCCAACCCAGGGCAAAACTGCAGGCATGTCGGCCTGCCTAGGAGAGAAATGATGGGCTGACAGAAGACGGAAGACCCCGTGGGACCCTTCAAGGCCGCACTCTGGCAATGAGCATACTCAATACTAGGGGGAAAGTTTGAGATGGGGCCTCAGACTGTGAGACACGGAATGAAGGGCTCAGGTTCCAAGCAGCCCCGTCCTGGTTAGTTATCAGGAAAAAGTCCCGGACTGTCGGAGCAGCATGCCAAGATCCAGTTCCCCTGGCAGTCTGTGGACGCTGCAACATGCAGGCATGCGAGAAGCAACGGGGCAGCCGCCTGGGAGGGAGGACTCCCCGTGGAGACCGGCACCGAGCAGGCAGGTGGGACCGAAGGCCCTGCAGAACTGTCCAGCCTGCCCTTCCAGGACGCCCTCTGGCAGGGCTGTCCTGCAGTGCAAGAACAGGGCGGTTTCAAGGGACTGAGGAGGCCACCGAGTCCGAAGCCCCGCTCAGGGCAGGAATGCAGCTGGAGCATTGCTGGCAGGTGGCTGTTCAGATGCCTCTTGCAAGCCTCCAGGGGCAGGAGGACAGCACGGGGGGGGGGGGCAGCTGGAGTGGGGAGGAGGGGCCCTGTGGCTTCCCCACCGTGGGGTCTTTTCTGAGGGGGAATAACAACAACAACAACAACTTTTTACCCCAGGGTGAGCCCATTCTCAATATCTATCTTTCATGAACTTCTAGGATACTGGGTCCTGCTGTGCCCACACTCTGCCAAAGAGAGGATTTGCTTTGCCCCGATTCTTTACCTGGTTTCTGTGCTGCATTTTCGATTCCTTCCTCACTTTGCGTCCTCCTGCTCTTGATGAAGGGGCAGATGGAGCCACGTACTTCCTGTCATTCAGCCAATGCGCTGCTTGGGAATCAAGGCAAAAAGAAAAGGTCGCTGAGACTTAATGGCCCAGGCAGCTGATCCCACTGGGGATGGGCGGAAGGTGGCCCCCTTCTGTCCCAGTGCCGGGAATGTTACCCCTTTCCTTCTGTGCCTGGGCTGCTGCAACGGGGGCCTCGCCAGGCGCGCGTCTCCCGCGATTCCGACAAGCAGTTCTCCCCGTCCCGCCGGGCAACGAACCGTCTCCTGGGCAGGTGCCTAGCAAGGAATTCAGCTCCTCTCTGCTCCAGCTCCGGCCACAGGGGACGAAGCGATCGCGCCCTTCCTCGTGGAGAGGCCGCCCCGATCGCCTCCGGCCCCGGAGCTCCCGAGGGGGCAGGTCGTGCGAGCGCAGCCCTGCGCGGGGCGGGAGGGGTTGCTGCGCCCCGTCCTTTCGTAGGGGGGGGGGCAAAAATAAATCCTTCCCCTCCTGCCCCCCACACGGCGCCTGCCGGGACCGGGTCCACGACCCCAGGGTCGCCCGGGGCTGCATCCCTCTCCGCAGAGGCTCCCCAGAGGGGACCGCGCAATGGGGCCGCGCCGCGCTTTGCCCCCGGAAAGCAGGGATCGCGTCCCCCAAGCAGCCCGCCCCTTCCGATGCCCCGGGAGGCTGACGGGGCACCGGCTCTGCCCCAGCCGCCCTGCCCTGCCCTACCCCCCTCCCCTGCCCGCCCCGCTCACCCACGAGGCCGCCTCCTCCCGGCCGAGGGTCCCGCCGGCCGGTCGCGCCCCGGGGTCGCCAGGTAATCGTCCAGGCGCCTCGTCCCGCCGCGCCGCTTTCCTGCTCCTCCCCAACCCGCCGGGGCGGAAGTGACGCCTCTCCTGCCCGCCCCCTCCGGGAGGAAAGCAAAATCCGGATCGCGCATCTCCAACTAGGCGCTCCGATTTCCCAGGATTTTCCATAGCACCACCTCCCGGAATAGTTTTAACTTGCTTAGTAACTTGTATAAGCTGTTGCTTTCTGTGTGGCTTCAGTGCTGGGCTTTGTTCTCTGATTATGGGTAATGCTTCTTCTGGCAGCGAAGCGCTTTTCCCTCACTTCTGCCGATCGGTTGCCCCTTTATTTGCAGTAAATATCAATTGCTTATTTTAACGTTAATGCACTCGATTCATGAACCTGGAGGCGCTGCTGCCGGCCCTCTGGGACACAGAGGAGTTCCCCTCCCAGCTTTCTGCCACTTTTTGGACTGGCTCTGCTTTTGGAGAGCTCTCTCCCCCTTCCTGTTCTTTTGTTTTTGTTCAAACGGCAGGTGGAGCCCTGTAATTTTCAAGGCCCTCCAATCCCGTGCTTGAAAACAAGGCAAAAGCCAAGTCCTCTGCAACCAACCAGAGTTACCGGCCAAAACCGGTGGTTTCTGCAGCTCCATGTGCTGCTCCCTCGCTTTCAGTGCCTTGAATGGAGAGTCCCTTTCGCGCTTCGCAGGGGGGATTTCGCAGCCTGCCTGTCACTGGGGTGCTTCACCTGCACTGGGGCTCAGAAGAACGCTTCTCTCTCCCTTTACCCGGGCAGGAAACACAAACACACACGATTTGTATAAAGGCAGCTCTGCAGCACAGAAACTCACAGACCGGGCCCTCCCCACCTCGGGCTGAAACGCCACAGGGATTGGCTTCGCCTGATGTTGTTGATTTCCCTGCTAGCCAGGTGACTTACAGACCCCTAAACCAAATGCCAATAAGGTCCAGCAAGGCGGAGATTCAACTGGTTCCTTTATTCAGCTGAGAAAACCAACCAGGTATCAGATTCCCAGTACACAGGCACGAAGCAACACGCACACATTCGATCAACTCATCCTTCTTAGAGCGTCTGTCTTTCTTTCCTACTTTTTCTCGCACAATCTCGCCCCCGTTGTTCCCTCATCCGATCACCTCCCAGGGTCTGCCTGACCCTTTGCCCAACCCCCTTGCAGGGTCTGCATGTCCACTGCATGCCTGCCCTCGTGGAAGAGGCTCTCTCCATCCAATCCCTTCACAGACAGAGCATGATCACAACGTGCCAGGCCTTGCGTGGGGAGTCATCCCCTTTGTCTCAGGGGTCCTCTTCTTTACACTACCCCTTTTGTCTTACCTTATCAACATTCCTGCTTTCCCTTTTTCCTCTCCAAAGCAAGCAGTTATACAGAAAAGCAAATGGCGTTTATTTAGCTAACCAAGCTTTCATGCAGGCAGCTGTTTACAAAAGAAAATAGTGTCAGTTAAGCTAAAACCAAATAACGCTAGTTAAGCTAATCAGGCTCCTTCATTTCCTTCCTTTCATATATGCAACCCTGGAGGTGGCCTCCATGGGTTGTCATTGAAGCAGGGAAGAACATTCCCTTGGGACAGATCTGAGTACCAGGGTTTTTGCCGGGGCATCAGGTTTCTTTGGGTTGGTTGTGACTCAGAATCCCGGAATCTCTATTTGAGAAGAGGGAATAAAACTCGGGTTCATGGGAAAGACCAAGCGTCCAGACCATCTGAGGCTTTATTGATTTACCCCAAGGTTCCCATGGGGTAAATCAATCACGATAATGCAGGCTGCACTACCGGGCAGGCAGAGGTGAACTCTGCTGCCAAGCTTCAATACCATT